AGAGACACAGCCTGGGGGCCCTCTTCTCTGGCCCAGGGGAGCGTCACACCAGCCACCCTTTCTCCCTGCCCATAATAAATAAGGAGGGTTGTCGGCACCTGGGCGAGTGATGCTGTGGGCACCTGGACTGCCTCGTCCTTGTGAGACTTGGTGTGAAGACAACACAGAAGGGGAACCAGCCAAGAGGGGTCCAGGCAGCAGCGAACCCCTCTTCATAGGGACCCTGTGAGACCCGAGACTCACTCTGCCCACCCTGCTCTGTCTTTTGGGAACTGGCCTTTGTCATTCTCTGGGCAGGAGGTGGGAAGGACAGCCCGGTCTCTCTTCCACCTCCTGAGACCCAGGTGGGCCTTGGGGGCAGCAGCACCTCCACCTGGGGTCCAGAGAGGGTGTCCTGAATGCACAGGCCCTAACTGTTCAGTGAGGCCTGCCCTCGTCCACAGTGCACTGACCTGCTGCAGGGTCTCGGGTTCCCTGGCTTCCAGCTCCCCCATCACCAACCGCAGCTTGGTGCCTTGGGAGCCCCTCAATGGCGGGCACCCAGGAGGTGAAAGCTGCATGCCCAGCAAGAAGGAGGAGAAGCCAGTGGGGAAGGGGTCCAGCATGGAGTGTCCAAGGCCCCTCTCCTCCCCCAGGAACACCCAGCCCCACCTGCCGTGGGCTTTCTCCTCTTCAGTGTGTGTCTTGGTGGCTGATGTTGCCAAACACCTTCCTCTGGAAGAGAAGGCTCCATGACCATGGAAGGGATGGAGGTGAGGAAGTGCTGTAGCCCTAAACCCAGAGAGCTTTAGAACTAACTTCCCTGAGCCCTGAACGTACTGCCTGTTACATCTGTACCAAGATCTGCCAAGATCCAGGCAGATTCTCTGTGGAAACACTTTCCATGTTCAATAAGAGAACCAAACTAGGCCAAGATCTGGGCAGATTCTCTGTGGAAACACTTTTCTGTCCAACAAGAGAGGACTTGCTAACCCACAGCCGAACCCCGAGACGTGGGATGTGCTCTAACTGTGGAGACTGCAGGGAAGGTGTTTGAGAGGCTTCTTCCCAGGCAGCTCCCCTGAGGCTCCTGGAGTTACTGGACCCAGAGGCGGAGCACTCGCGCTTCTCTCCTCACTGCAGGCCAGACGGTGCCCCCAACCTCACAGCCCTGCTCCTCCGCCTCCCTGAGTTCAACAGAAACCCCCGGTCATGAGGCCAAAGCGCAGTCTTCTTGGTGAGCAGAGCAGAGGCCGGTGGGAAGAGGGGTGGAGGCTGAAAGCCTTTGTAGAAGAAAAACACGCACGTGTGTTCCCGTGTGTGGTGGCCAGATGCTGCAGTTATTGGTGTTCCCTACACATTTATGGGCGGGTTTTAGTTTCTGTATTTTCTAAATTTCTTCTTTTTTAAACAGCTGCATATTATGAGAAAATTTTGCAATCAACCGTGAGCACTTGCAAAATAAGATCTTTTTGTTTTCTTTTCCTAAAATGTTGCAGTTTTCTATGGTGACAGATGAACCACCTCCTACTTTAAGTATTCATTTAATTGGCTGCGCTGGGTCTTAGCTGTGGCATGCAGGGCCTTCAGTTGCAGCATGTGGGATCTAGTGCCCTGACCAGGGATTGAACGTGGCCCCCTGTGTTGGGAGCTCAGAGTCCTAGCCTCTGGATCAGCAGAGAATGCTGTGATCTCCTACTTAAAAAAAGGTTTTTTATTTATTTTTGGCTGTGCTGGGTCTTCGCTGCTGTGTGGGCTTTTCTCTGGTTGTATGGCGTGGGGGCTGCTCTCTCGTTTCTGTGCTGAACTTCTCTCTGTGGTGGCTGCTCTGGTTGGGAAGCAGAGACTCGAGGCTCTTGGGCTGCAGTAATTGTGCATGGACTTAGTTGCTCCACGGCACCAAAGGAGTCATCCCCCTCCCCGCTTTCTGACAACATTCCACTTCAAAAAAAGACTAAAAATAATCTGTTTAGTAAGTTTTCAGGAGTCTGAGCTCTGAGGTCAGCGTCTGTGGTGTCATTCTCCCAAAGGCATCTTGGCTTCAGATACTGGCTGGGCTCATGAGTCCATTAAGCAGGGCAGGTCTTGTGGCTGAAGACAGGCTTGGCCTCTGGAGCTCTGCCCTCAGCGACTCACCCAGGGTCCCTGAGCCCCGGCAGCCAAGCAGAGCCACGCGCAGGCGGGGCTGGTACAGCCGTGGGGCCGCCGCGGTCAGGGTGGAGCGTGTGGCGGAGGGAGCTGGCTGTCCATCCCATGACTGCTGGAGTCCTGTGTGCCCATGCACGGCAGTCACGGTGTCAGATGAGGCCTGGCCACTGTCTGGGGACAGCGTGGGCCCTCAGACAGCTCGCATCCCCACTCCCCATCTCCCAGCTCCGCTTCAGATCATGGCTTGTGGCTGCTGGCAGCTCCCAGGGCTGGGAGGCTGTGTGAAGCTCCAACCCCCTTGCTCAAGGTCAGCTGAGACACCCAGCTCTGGGGTCACACACCATCTGTACCACCATCCAGGTCATCCCACTTCTGTGAGGGAGGGCCTGTGCGGAACTGTGGGTGATGGGGAATTTGGGGGTGTTGTGGGCTGGCCCCAGGAGCCAGCTTTTTGAGGAGAGAGGAGCGGAGGGGAGGGAGGGAGAAGCTTTGACCTGCTCGGTGTTCCAGGGGATTCCAAGCCCAGCTATGGTGGGAGGTGCAGGTGAGAAGCCCCTGCAGGTTTCTGGGTCCCCAGAGTTTTTCAGTTGAAGCCCCTCGGCCTGCACCACCCCTAACTCTCCCTCCTGTGGCCCTGGCCTGAAGCCACAGAAGATGGGGAGTTTACGTGGCTTCCCTTCCTGTAGGGAAACCAAGTCACAGACAAATGTGTTCCTTTAAGAAAACATGACAGAAACAGGAAAATAATAGTGGGTGGTTATTACTGACACGGTTCATGTAGCGACGCTTCACAAGCCTGGCACATGGAGGGAACTGAGGGCCGTTGCCCCAAGACTTGGAGTTTTCACCCTCCAACCCCTGCCCCGTGGCCCACTCTCCCCTTGTTGTCTTCTGGTGACCAGGAGGACTTCAGCCTCCTGAACCCCTTCTGGAAGGATCAGGCCAGGGCAGAGGTCATTCACAGAGGGGAGGGTATGGTCGACCTTAAGAACCCCATTGCCCCCACTCTGTGTCAGAGCTCAGTTCCGGGTCTGAGCAAGCGTGGCTTCCTGGTGCTGTCCCCACCCTCACTCACCCAGGGTGGGGGCTTTGTGTCCACCTCGTCCCCTCATGCAGCCTGGCCACCTCAGGACCCATGCTGTGTGTACATCTGCTCTGCTCACAGCTCACCCCGGGGCCCATCAGACTTCACTCATGAAAGAGAGGTGTAAGGATGAACTATTCCATAAGTTAAGAATTTCAAGGTCGCGACAGCGTTGCCAGAGCGCACGGGCACAGGTGTGAGGCCCATGCATAGAGAAGCCGCGGTGTGGGCTTCAAGGACCTTCCGTGTGGCGGTGGGATGGGGGCTGGTCAGGGATTTCCTGAAAACGCGGCTCCAGGGTCTGTTCTTGGCAGGGGGGACGACTGTGGGCACTGCCTGTCTGTGGACGGGGCCTGGGGCTGCCCAGCTCAGCAGGAATGGCAGGGGTGGGAAGAGAGGTCGCCCTCCCTTAGCACCCCTGACCTCACACCCCCTCATCAGGGCAGCTGGGTACCTAAACAGCCCCTTCCTCGTCTAGCTGTGAAGACCTGGAAGGTGTAGGGGCTTAAGTAAGGACATGCAGAAAACAAATTCTGTAAAGCAATTATCTTTCTATTAAAAAATAAAAAAAGATTAAATAAAAAAACAAAAAGGACAGCAAAGGTGGGGCTTGCGTTCTCAGCCAGCCTCTGCCAGATTCCTCCTGTGCTTACGCATCAGACCAAAATGCTGGTGCTCCCACCCCGTATCACAGATGAGAATAGAGACACAGAGAGGTTGAGCATCTTGCCCCAGCTCACACAGCTGCTGAGTGTAGGGCTGAGAACTGGACCCCTGTGGTCAAATCTGGAGCCTAGACGCTGTGATGACCCTGAGGGAGCGGCAGAGACCAGATGGCCCATGCTGAGCCAGGCGCGTGCGCACGCACACACACACACACACACACACACACACACACACACGTGCACGTGGCCTTCACCTTTGCGGTTACAGAAGTCAGAGGGAACCAGAGGGCCCCCAGGAGAGGCCAAAGGAGAGCCGAGGTCTATAAGGAGGGGAGGCCACACTTCCCAGGAAGCCGAGGAATTCCCTTCCCTGGTGAGTCTGTCTCAACTCTACATTCCTCTCTCTGGTCCCAAGAAGTGACTGTCCAGTGACCTAACTGAGTTGGCTCCAGAATTATGCCTTCCCAGGGGTTCAGCTACAACTGGACTCCACTGCTGTCAGTGATAAGGGGGGAATGAGTACATAGTCTGGGCTTCAGATTTGTTTGGAGACAAAGTTTCTTAGAAGTGGAGTACTAAAAAACCACGAAGGCAATTGGCATGAACATCTCCAGAACACCTAAGAAACCCTCTGTTGTTTATCTACCTCCTCGCATGTCACGAAAGTGGAAGGTCTATTTAACAAGTAATTCTGTGCTTATCACACTCTTTCTTTAAAATATTTATTATATATTCATCTATTCGGCTCTGCTGTGTCTAAGTTGCAGCATGTGGGAGCTAGTTCCCCAATCAGGTATTGAACGTGGGTCTCCGCATTGGAGTCTTGAGCCCTGGACCACCTGGGAAGTCTCTCCTCATACTCCTGGGGGCAGTAACGGGTCACAGACCTCCTCTGAGACCCCCTTAGAGCTGAGGCATGGGGTGGCTGCAGTAATCCTCCTGTGGCTAAGGTGTGGCTTATTGTTCATGAATCACTCACACTCCCTGCAAACATAGGGCTTCGCCCCTGTGTGTGTCCTCTGATGTCTGATGAGGACGGACTTGTGACTGAAGCTTCACCCACACTCCCCGCAAACATAGGTCTTCTCCCCTAGTGTGTCCTCTGGTGGGTGATGAGGATGGACTTGTGACTGAAGCTTCGCCCACACTCTCTGCAAACATAGGGCTTCTCCCCTGTGTGTGTCCTCTGGTGTCTGATGAGATGGGTCTTCTGACTGAAGCATCGCCCACACTCCCCGCAAACATAGGGCTTCTCCCCTGTGTGTGTCCTCTGGTGTCTGATGAGGACTGATTTATCGCTGAAGCTTCGCCCACACTCCCCGCAAACATAGGGCTTCTCCCCTGTGTGTGTCCTCTGGTGTCTGATGAGGAGTGACTTATCGCTGAAGCTTCGCCCACACTCCCTGCAAACATAGGGCTTCTCCCCTGTGTGTATCCTCTCGTGTGTGATGAGGACTGACTTATTGCTGAAGCTTCGCCCACACTTCCTGCAAACATAGGGCTTCTCCCCTGTGTGTGTCCTCTGGTGTGTGATGAGATGGGACTTCCGATGGAAGCTTCGCCCACACTCCCTGCAAACATAGGGCTTCTCCCCCGTGTGTGTCCTCTGGTGTCTGATGAGGACTGACTTATCGCTGAAGCTTCGCCCACACTCCCTGCAAACATAGGGCTTCTCCCCTGTGTGTATCCTCTCGTGTGTGATGAGGACTGACTTATTGCTGAAGCTTCGCCCACACTTCCTGCAAACATAGGGCTTCTCCCCTGTGTGTGTCCTCTGGTGTGTGATGAGATGGGACTTCCGATGGAAGCTTCGCCCACACTCCCTGCAAACATAGGGCTTCTCCCCCGTGTGTGTCCTCTGGTGTCTGATGAGGACTGACTTATCGCTGAAGCTTCGCCCACACTCCCTGCAAACATAGGGCTTCTCCCCTGTGTGTATCCTCTCGTGTGTGATGAGGACTGACTTATTGCTGAAGCTTCGCCCACACTTCCTGCAAACATAGGGCTTCTCCCCTGTGTGTGTCCTCTGGTGTGTGATGAGATGGGACTTCCGATGGAAGCTTCGCCCACACTCCCCACAAACATAGGGCTTCTCCCCCGTGTGTGTCCTCTGGTGTCTGATGAAATTTGACCCGTGATGGAAACTTCGCCCACAGTCCCCACAAACATAGGGCTTCTCCCCCGTGTGTGTCCTCTGGTGTCTGATGAAATTTGACCCGTGATGGAAACTTCGCCCACAGTCCCCACAAACATAGGGCTTCTCCCCCGTGTGTGTCCTCTGGTGTCTGATGAAATTTGACCCGTGATGGAAGCTTCGCCCACATTCCCCACAAACATAGGGCTTCTCCCCTGTGTGTGTCCTCTTGTGTGTGATGAGATGGGTCTTCTGACTGAAGCTTCGCCCACACTCCCCACAAACATAGGGCTTCTCCCCTGTGTGTGTCCTCTTGTGTGTGATGAGATGGGACTTCCGATGGAAGCTTCGCCCACACTCCCCGCAAACATAGGGCTTCTCCCCTGTGTGTGTTCTCTCGTGTGTGGTGAGACTTGACCTGTCCTTGGAGCCTTGCCCACACTCTCCGTACGTGACTCTCATAATCCCTGAGACCCCTGCCCCCGTGAGCAATGTGCCTGTGTCCTCCGGATTCAGTTTCTGGCTTGTGCTGGGCTCGTCTTTCATTCTCTCATGCACCAGAGAACCCCCCATTTGTCCTCCGGGTGAGTAGGAAGAGGTCCTTGAAATCCCCTTCAGCCTTATGCTTTTCAGCAATTGTTGGGGCCTGTCCTTGGCCTCCTGACCCTCAGGTTTGTCGCTTGGGCTCTGTGCATCTGAATATCGCTGATTTTGATTGCCTGGGCAGGGATCCTCTGGTTGGAGGGGGTCTCTTTCAGATGGTCTCAGGAAGATCTGAGAGGGGTGACTGCGTTGGATGTGTTGGCTGAGGAATTTCTGACTGGAGAAAGCCAGAGAGCAGGAGGCACATGGGTGGATCTGGGGCTTCGGTTCTGCTGAAAGAGGAAGTTTTTGGTCAGGTAGCTGGTTTGCCATGGCCAGGCCCTCCCCACTAATCATCTAAGTGTTGACAGTGCACGATTTGTCTCCCATCGAGCGTGTCTTTACAGTCCACTTTTCCATTCCACTCTTATTCTCTACATCTACAGAAATCCAGGAAGCTGGTGTCAAGGGCCTTTTCTACATATCACCCAGATAGGGACCTTCCAGCAGCATCAGAGGCAGCGTCTGTCCTGATAGAGGTGGATCTGCAGGGACTTTCCCTGCGTGTAAGTGTCAGAAAAGTCACGTCACAGTGGCCACAGGTGTTTTACCCTACTGAGAGATAAGACTTGATGACTTAGGTGGAATCTCCTGAGAGGCTCACTGTGAGGGGAAAGGGTCTATTAAGTTAGGGGCGCCTGGGCTGGAGCTCTCTGCATATGGGAGGGAGCACAGGGGGTGGTTAGAGCAGGTGTGGGTAAATCTGACTCTCTGGCTCCTTGTTCAAAGAGCAGCCTTTGTGCCGATCTCTGCAGGAAGTGGGTTTGAGACTGGATGAGACTGAGTGGCCTAGGTCCCACTGACTACAGGTCTCTGGCTCCTCCTGTCCCAACAGGTTCAAAATTGCTCCTCTCTCAGTTTCCCATAAATCATAAAATAAAGGCATATCCTTTCTCAAGCCTCACCAGTACTCATACCTCATTTATTTCATTCAGGCTTAACATTACCATTTAACATACAATAGGAAGCCCTATTTAAAAATACATCTCCAGTAAGACTCTTCACATCCTCACTCCCAAGCATCTTTAGCCAGCCCACTGTCCCCTCATGTCTGGCAATGAACTGACCTCTGAGGGGACTCCCCGCTGCTGTCTCTTCCCAAAAGTGAGCCAAAGCATCGTGTTAGCACAGAGAACATGCCGCTTGCAGCTGAAAGCCTCGCGGTTGTTCTGTGTCACCCAGGAGGACCCGTGGGGCCTGCACGTGGACACAGGCCCTGAGGCTTCCGTGTCCCATCCAGTCTCCTTCCCCTCCCTCTGTGCTTCCTCCCCAGACCCCTGGCATGGCCTCTCTTCCCGGCCCTGGGGCTGCGGCACTGGCTGCTCCCCTGCCTGGAATCCTTTCCCGCAGGTGTTATCTCTGCAGAGACCCTGCCGCACCGTCCTGCGCCACACCCCACCCTCTGCTCACGCTGACCCGAGGCACGTTCCCTGCGCTGGTTTTGCTCAGAACACCAGCCCCTGCCTGGCATGAAGCCCCTGCTGCCCCAGGGCAGTGGTCCTGTCTGTTTGGGTGCGTGGAGCCCCGTCTGGCACAGAGTGTGAACTCACAGGACAACAAACTGGAACAGTAACTGAATGCACATCACTGTACATGTGTGCACCCCAATGTTCATCGCAGTACTGTTCATAAAAGCCAGAATGTGGAAGGAACCTAGATGCCCATCAGCAGACGAATGGATAAGGAAGCTGTGGTACATATACACCATGGAATATTACTCAGCCATTAAAAAGAATTCATTTGAATCAGTTCTAATGAGATTGATGAAACTGGAGCCCATTATACAGAGCGAAGTAAGCCAGAAAGATAAAGACCATTACAGTATACTAACACATATATATGGAATTTAGAAAGATAGTAATGATAACCCTATATGCAAAACAGACACAGATGTACAGAACAGACTTTTGGACTCTGTGGGAGAAGGTGAGGGTGGGATGTTTCAAGAGAACGGCATCGAAACATGTATATTATCTAGGGTGAAGCAGATCACCAGCCCAGGTTGGATGCATGAGACAAGTGCTCAGGCCGGGTGCACTGGGAAGACCCAGAGGGATCCGGTGGAGACAGAGGTGGGAGGGGGGATTGGGGTGGGGAATACATGTAAATCCATGGCTAATTCATGTCAATGTATGACAAAAACCACTACAATATTGTAAAGTAATTAGCCTCCAACTAATAAAAATAAATGAAATAAATAAATTAATTAATTTAAAAATACTGATGACTAAGGAATTCCATTTACTTTCTTTAAATTGGCAGATGTCATTCATAAATTTCCTAGTGTGACCCTTAAAATATCTTTGTCCTATAAATATTTTAAAATAAAATGTCTTTATTTTAGTTAAAAAAAAATTAATGGGAGGAATTAAGGAAGAAAGCTGTAAAGGGCAGAGAGCTTGTAGGTGTTAGAAAACTTGCATTTTGCTCCTAAGCAGAATGTGATGTTACATATTATTTTGCAGAATCTGATGTTACATATTATTTTGCATGAAATATTAAATATTAAAAGTTAGAACTAGCCTTTTTAATATAGAAATTTTTCCTAACAATCATATGAAAAGAATCAAATTCTGAGGCATTTTAATTGCAACTCAACTGACTTTGGACTGGATTGTACTCTGCTTCGAAATCAGACCATGGAGGCTCCCAGGATGGGGTGGGGTGCTGGAAGATGGGTGACACTCACCTCTCCCGGCCGCAAGGTCACTCTTCCCCCTGCTGTTCCTCTTGATGCCAAGGTCCTGGCCATACTCGTCCCCGTACCAGACCAGCAGCTCACAGCCCGGCCTGACCACCTGGCAGGTTCGGTAGAAGATCTGCCCGTGATACTGGAAGGCCACCAGGTTCTGCTCCTCGTCGTCCCGGGCACAGTTCACATACCTGGGGTCGAGGCCGGGAAAGGGAAAGAAACCTCAGGTGATGAGTGCCCTCCACTCTCCGACCATGCCCAGCTCCTTGCCTTCCGCCTCTGAGGCAGCCCCTCATGTGGACCTTCTGTTCACACCTTCGGCCAGGCCATGTGAATTCCCATGCCTTTCTCTCATTACCTAACTAGCCATTTTCCGGAGCCCAGTTCCAGACTCGTCTCCACCTGGACTGTCTGTGAGGCTGGTGAACTCCAGCTCCTCTAAACTCTGAATTAAGTTCTCTTTCATCCACAGGACTTGGTGCTCCTTGGCTAAGACGCAGCCCTCAGCACTCACCCCAGCCTGCCTTCTCTCCCGAGGCTTTCTCCCCTCTCCCCACGTGTATCCAGGGTCCTATTCGCTTGCCCACCCCCTCCCACGGAAACTTGGAGAGAGCTCTGAGAGAGCTTGAGACACGGAACAGTAATAATTTGTTCACTGTCTACCTGCCCTGATGAAAGGAGAGGCCCTCAGAGAACGGCCCTGCTCAGGGCCATCCTGCCCCCCATTCCTTCCGAGGCCTCAGGGCCCACTTCTCACTGGAGCCAAGCCTGAGGAGGTTGTTGCCACATAGAGTCAAGGTCTCCTGTGTTAGGTTATCCTGGCACTGTGTAGTTACTCAAAGAGAGAAAAAATAAGGTTACTGTTCCTAAAATCAATTGGCTAATGTCTGTTTGCAGTATGCTCTCCAAAAGGACATGGGTTGTGTGACCTGCTTCAGTAACGAAGTTCACGGTCTGAACTGAAACATAAAGTGCGTGGTAAGTGTCCATTAAGTCAGTAAAGTGTCCCTGGTGAATCTAGACTCCTCAAGTTGATTTCAAGTCCACCAGTTTTGTTCAGCATATGGACTTGTATCTTGACGGCACATGCCATATTTTTATTTCCTTCTTTCTAGTGTCTTTTGAAATGAAAGAGCATGATATGGAGGGAAAAGAGGGAAGAAGATGTGAAAGCTGTTGAGGGAGCCGGGTTGAGAAGGAAAGGGGCGTGGGATTGAGGGAGTATCCACGTCTACACGCTGCAGACTCACTGCACTCACCTCATCCAGTTGGCCCAAGACGTGTCTTTTCCATCCACATACTCGTAGCAGTTTCTCCCTTTGGTGATCTGAGTGTCAGAAAAAGAGTTAAAAGATTTCCTCTTTTTTTTTTTTTTTTTTAAATCGGTAGGAAGCAATAGAGGAGCTATTTCCCTTTGCAGTCATTGGTGCTTTTCAGCCTGCATGGATTCAACTGCCAGTCAGAACACACGGTTATCTTATTACTCATCATGCCAAGTCTGAGTCTCTTGGTTACTTGAAGGCAAGGGCTCCACAAGGGAGGAGTCACTTCTGTGCGTCTGGACACTGTGTTCCCACCTCTCCTCTGACCTTTGGATAGAGGTCCTGGGTGTCTGTCCACTGTGGTCCCACCTCTCCTCTGACCTTTGGATAGAGGTCCTGTGTGTCTGTCCACTGTGGTCCCACCTCTCCTCTGACCTTTAGATAGAGGTCCTGTGAGTGTGTACCAAGGTGTTCCCACCTCTCCTCTGACCTTTAGATAGAGGTCCTGTGTGTCTGTCCACTGTGGTCCCACCTCTCCTCTAACCTTTGGATAGAGGTCCTGTGAGTATGTACCAAGGTGTTCCCACCTCTCCTCTGACCTTTGGATAGAGGTCCTGTGTGTCTGTCCACTGTGGTCCCACCTCTCCTCTGACCTTTAGATAGAGGTCCTGTGAGTGTGTACCAAGGTGTTCCCACCTCTCCTCTGACCTTTGGATAGAGGTCCTGTGTGTCTGTCCACTGTGGTCCCACCTCTCCTCTGACCTTTGGATAGAGGTCCTGTGAGTGTGTACCAAGGTGTTCCCACCTCTCCTCTGACCTTTAGATAGAGGTCCTGGTTGTCTGTCCACTGTGGTCCCACCTCTCCTCTGACCTTTAGATAGAGGTCCTGTGAGTGTGTACCAAGGTGTTCTCACCTCTCCTCTGACCTTTAGATAGAGGTCCTGTGTGTCTCTGCACTGTGTTCCCACCTCCCCTCTGACCTTTAGGTAGAGGTCCTGTGTGTCTGTACACTGTGTTCCCACCTCCCCTCTGACCTTTGGATAGAGGTCCTGAGTGTCTGGACACTGTGTTCTCACCTCTCCTCTGACCTTTAGATAGAGGCCCTGTGTGTCTGTACACTGTGTTCCCACCTCCCCTCTGACCTTTAGATAGAGGTCCTGTGTGTCTCTACACTGTGTTCCCACCTCTCCTCTGACCTTTAGATGGAAGTCCTGTGTTCACGCCCAGTGCACTCAGTACACAGGGCTGAGTGTATCATTGCTGACCATGTTATCACCATCTGCGTCCTTGCATGTAGACACGAAGTACCCCCCACAACATAGAAGCAATTAGAGGCCAGAGGACAGGGAAACGGGTGCTTCTCACCAGCCAGGCATATCCACTGTTGGCGGCCTCTTCATCGTCTGTGATCTGGCCCTCATAGGGGCCAAAGTGCAGGCCCCGCGGCAGATCGGACGCCTCGTTCCACACTCCAAGCCCAGCGTCAGGGATGCCCGACAGCCTGATGCTTAACCCAGGGGGCAGGGTGAGCGCTGAGCGGTTGGCGTGCCCCTTTGGCACTGCACAGTCCTTTACGAAGGCTGGGGGCCCGTGGGCAGCACAGCTGTCGATGAAGAAGTTCTGACACTCCTCACAATCTGGAGGTGAGAACAGGGATGAGAGGAGGTATAGTGATGATGCTGGTCGTAACGACCTTCAGAAAGAACTGGGGCATTCATGGCATTTGGCCTCGATCTTGCACCCCAAGTCATAGAGGAAGGGGATGATCGGGGGACCAAATGGTGAGGTGAGGTTACTGGACCAAGGCCTCATAGCCCCTTCTCCGTGAGTGGCCCAGCGGGGTCACTCACAGAGGTAGTCGTCATCCTGGGGCTCGCTGACCTCTTGGTACACGTGGCCCTTTCTTTCTCGTAGACTGTACCTCTTCACTCCAGTCTCCTTTCTTCTGAGTTCTAAGATGGAGAACAGAAGCTAAGCAAGGCTGGTGGGGTCTGGGGAGTTAGTCCCTGTTTTATCAGAAAGTGTGAGATCTCCTACCTGTCCATCTATACACTTTGTTAAAACTTTCTTACATGTATTTTTCAAACTTTTACTTTTGTAATTTTATGTTTTAATGTTACATTATTTATTTCTTGGCCACACTGCATGGCTTGTGGGCTCTTAGTTCCCTGACCAGGAATGGAACCCACACCTCCTGCAGTGGAAGCGTGGAGTCTTAACCACTTAACCCCCAGGAAGTCCCTTCTCTATACTTCGTTTCTTGTCCCTTTAACTACAGGTTCAGGAGACTGAGGCTCCACTGACCAAGATGCCCAGTTCAGTGATAGCGTCCTGCAATTCCCATTAGTAGGTTTAACTTCCAAACCTCCCTACTTAGGAAATAGTTCACCGACACATCTACTCAGAAAATATATGTTCAGGGCACATGACACGTAAGGCATTGAGCAGAGGTCTGGGCATAAACACTAATAAAGCACGGTTCCAGTATCACAGCTGGATTTATTGAACTACTTGTAGGTGTCTGACTTTTGCATTTAATGTAAGGCTTTCAAGCACTGGATGAGTTATGTATCCTTATCTTCACTTTACAGATAGCAATCAGGACCTCAGAAAATGTATAAGGTTTTCCCAAGGCCCCAGTGCTAACTTCATGTCTCAGATCAGTCCAGCTTAAACCCCCACCTACCCAAAGTCCATGCCACACATCTAGGCCATACTTATTACTTTTTCTACAGGGATTAGAGGAACTAATTAGAGGAACCACCCAAAATTTCTCTTACCGACGTTTTGTCTGGGGTGCTGTCCAGGGGTCCTTGCTTTTCTGTGATGGGGCACTGGTTTCTGAGCCTGCCTGGAGCCACTTGTCTTCAGCGATTTTGCTGCTCCCGGCAATTCCTTCAAACTAGATTCCTTACTTAGTGGTGCCCTGGACATTCTCTTCCATGTGAGTAAAAGACAACATCCACTTTTTAGTTCTTTAGGACTTTATGAAGTGTTTTCACATGCATGACTTTAGTTAATACTTTGACAATTCTTGGAAATACCTGATTTGGGGGAGGGGGGTGTCTGAACACTGGAGTGTAAAAAATGGACCTAGGTGGATAGTGAATCAAAACTAGAATTCATATGTTAAGGTTTTTCCCCTTCAACTTTCTGCATAAAAGTGAGAGCAAGGCAGGGAGAATAGCTGGAGGTCAGAGAAAGAAGAGGGTAAGGGCTCGTAGAGAGATCCAGGGGGTTTCTATTAATTAGTGGTCCTTTGATGGATGAGGAAGTATGGAAAATTACAGAGGGGACAAAGCACATGTGGAAAATAAGGTGACAAAGCAGTGTGATTAAGACGAGAAAAGATGATCGGCAGAAACACATTTAGACAATAAAGAAAATGAGATGAAATTTGCAGGTTGCCATGTCCTAGAGACAATGTTTGGAATTAAAGTAGCTGGTCTCATCAGTTCTCCTTGAACAAGGCTGTATGACTAGCTGGTTCTCCTCAGTTTCCTGATCCATTAATTGGTGTACAGGCTAACTCTTAATATTATAGTGGACATGAAATTTAATAACCTTCAACAAATTGTTGTGTGAGCTATTTAATACAATAAGAACGTGAGCATACATCCCTGGTATCAATTTATTCCCTAAACTGCATCTGTATTTGAGGTCTAGCTCACAGATACTATCTTCAGCATTCTTTGACCTTTCTACTCCTAGATGCATGCTTAAATGTGGAGTCACTCATTCACAAAACATTCAGGGGGCCTCAGGGGCTTTGAGCTGGGCCTGGACTTCGGAGAATGAATGGGTGTGGGCTAGGCTCTCAAAGCTCACAATACAGGGCCAGGCTAAACACATGATTCCAAACAGGAGAGTTGCTACTTAGAGCTCAGAGGAAGGAGTTGTTACTCCCTCCTGCAAGAATGAGCATTTGAAATGATGCCCAGATGATGAGTTTCTACTCAAAAGCAGGTAATCTATGTGAAGTCCTTCTGTTATTTTCTTATTTGTTGCTTTTCAGTCATAAACCTGATGCTTATCAGGGTTGCGAGTTGCTTCCTCTTATTGGAGTGGGAGGCTCTCAGGTAGGGATCCTGTCTCCTTCTTCATCTTGGACTGTCCACTCTAGAAACTGCCTGGCATGTCCTTAAGTTTCTTTATCTTGGACCGTCCACTCTACAAACTGCCCAGCATGTCCTAAAGCTTCTTCATTTTGGACTGTCCACTCTACAAACTGCCCAGCATGTCCTAAAGCTTCTTCATTTTGGACTGTCCACTCTAGAAACTGCCCAGCATGTCCTTATCTTCTTCATCTTGGACTGTCCACTCTACAAACTGCCCAGCATGTCCTTAAGCTTCCCTTAGTCAGATGTCTTAGCATATCCCTCCCTAGCACAGCACAAAAGAACTGAGGTTGAAAACATCTCTCAGATGAATGATATAAAGATGTATGAATAAGCTTCATAGAACTACGGAAGTTTTAATCAGTTTCTAACGGGTTTAGAGAACGTGCATTGGTTTAGATTGCACTACCAGTGATACTGTGATCTCAGGCATATAATCAAATGTTTTTTACCTCAGTTTTTTGATCTATAATGGTGATAGCTATATACCTACTTATAGGCACTGTAGGATTGATTTACGGTTTAAGTAAGTTTATTCACATAAAATGCTTAAAGTCTGAAATATTATGAAAATAATGTAACAACAGAACAGCCTACTACTGTTGTTGTTCTTACTAACTGTAGAGATGGTGATGATATCAGACACTGTGCTAAAGATTCAGGACAGGAAGGCAGCAGTCTCCAGGATCTCTGTGCTTTCTCCTATTCTCACCTGTGACTGGATCCATGGGGAGGATATTTTGGCAACAGGATTTGGGAAATACTCACCTTCTGGTGTTTACTGTGCTCCACCCTGAAGGCCATCGGAGAAGGTTTACCTAAAGAGTGATGAGAACCAGTGTCTTGGTTGGTAAATGTTTCCACACTCTGGGCTTTCTAACTCAGGACACATGATTCTAAGCCAGAGCGTGACAAAGACAATGATTAACAAAGGAGGAATGGAAAATGATTTCTGTATCATCAACTCCCATGGTTCCACTGGGAGCATTACATAATTTTCTTAAAATTAAAAAAAAACACATTAAACTTCATCTGTGCCTCATCTGATGTTCATAAAGTATCTAATAAATTTACTAGTCTTTCATGACAAAAGGACTCAACAATGTAGAAATAGAAGGAAGTGACTGCAATATAATAAAGTTCATATATTGAAAGTCTACCTCTAACATCATGGTCATCAGTGAAAAAGATCAAGAAAAAAAGCCAAGGATGCCCGTTATCAACATTTCTGGTCACCATAATATTAGAAGTCCTAGCCAGGGCTTTAGGTTAGAAATGGAAACAAAAGGCTTCCATTTGGAAAGAAAGAAGTGAAATTATGTCTGTTCACAGGGGCATGGTTTTATGTGCAGAAAAATCTTTAAATCCACACACACAAGAAACCTGTACAGAAAGTTGCACGGTACAAAATCAACATTCAAATATCTTTCCATGCATGAAGAATGACCATTCCACAGAGGAAAATAAGAAAACAATACTGTTTATTTTTCATTTTTTTAAAGTTACAGTCAAGAGCTAAATTTAAAAAATATATATTTATTTTTATTTATTTGTTTGTTCCAGGTCTTTGTTGCAGCATGTGGGATCTAGTTCCCTGACTAGGGACTGAACCCAAGTTATCTGCATTGGGAGTGTGGAGTCTTAGCCACTGGACAAAAAATCTTATTTATAATAGCATTGAATAGATGAAGTAATTAGGAATAAACTTAAGGAGATGAAAGACTTATATGTTGAAAACTACAAAATGTTGCTGAAAGGTATCTGACATAAATAAATAGATAGGTGTCTCATGTTTGTGGATTTGGGGGCTTAATATTATTAAGCTGTTCATACTACCCAAAGCAATTTAAAGATTCAATGCAATTCCTATTAAAATCCCAATGGAATTTTTTTCAGATATAGAAAATCCATCCAACAGTTAACACGGAATCTCAGAGCACCCCAAATAGGCAAAGCAATCTTAGAAAGAACAGCAAAGCTGGAAGCCTCAGATTTCAGAACATACTACAAAGGTACAGGAACCAAAAGAGTGTAGATTTGGGAAAAAATATGTGCTTAGTCGCTCAGTCTTCTTGACTTTTTGTGACCTTTTGGACTGTAGCCCACCAGGCTCCTCTGTCCAGGGCATTTCTCAGGCAAGAATACTGGACAGTGTTGCTATTTCCTTCTCTAGGGGATCTTCTTAACCCATGGATTGAACCTGCATCTCCTGTGTCTCCTGCTCTGAAGGCAGATTCTTCACCTGCTGAGCCACTGAGGAAGCTTGCTGGCATAAAGACAGATATGTCAATCAATGGAACAGAATAGACAGCCAGAAATAAACTCTTGGACACATGGTCTAATGATCTTCATCTAGGGTGTCAAGATAATGGGGATAATTTAATCCCTGTAATGAATGGTTCTGGGGAAACAAAATAACCATATGCAAAATAATGAACATCTTACATCTTGAAGAAAAAGCAATTCAGAATGGATTAAAGACCTAAATGCAAGACTCGATAAGACTCTTTAGAAGAAAACAAGGGTGAAGCTTCATGACTTTGAATCAGCAATGATTTCTTAGATATGGTACCAAGTGCACAAGTATTAGTAAGAAAGTAAAAATAGACAAATGAGATTAATCTTCAAACCTCTGAGCAGCAAAGGACACTGAACAGAGTTGAAAAGGCCACCTATAGGATGGTAGAAAATATTTGTAAAATATGCATCTGATAAGGGGTTAATAAGCATACACCAGTATGAAGGTGACCTATAAGCCAGGAAGAGAACCTGATTGACCATGATGGCACCTTGATATCAAATTTCCATGCTCCAGCATTGTAAGAAAACAAATTTCTGTGGTATAAGGATTGCAGTCTGTTTTGTTATGGCAGTCTGACCTGACTAACAGTGAGAGAAGGAATTGCATAGACATTTCTCCAGAGAAAATATACAAATGGCCAACAAACATATGAAAAGATGCTCAGTATTACTAATCAATAGGGAAATACAAATTGAAACCTTCTGTGATGGGCAATATGTATAAGAAGACAATAGCAAGTTTGGTAAGGATATGGATAAATTGGAACCCTTATACACTATTGTTGGCAATGTAAAATGTTGCAAGCTTTATAGAAAACAGTATGGAGTTTCCACAGAAAATCAGAACTGCTGTATGATCTAGCAATCCAACTCAAGAGTGTATTTCTATAAAAAATGGAAAGCAAGATATTGAATAAATAGTGGGCACATGTATGGTTATTGCTGCATTATTCCCAATGGGCAAGATGTGTAAGCAATCTAAATGTTCGTTGGTGGATAAAAGATAAAGATTATATATAAGATATATGTTATAGCTCTTATATCCACATGCACACAGTGGAATGTTTTGAAGCCTTAAAAAAGAATTCTGTCATATGCTACATCATGGATGGGCCTTGATGATATTATACTAAGTGAAATGAACCAATCAAAAAAGACAAATATTGCCTGATTCCACTTCTATGAGGTATCTAAATTAATCAAATCCATGGAAACAAATAATATAATTGTGGCTGCCAAGGGCTGTGAGGAGGAAGGATTGGAGAATTGTTACTCAGTGGGTTGGGGCTTCAGTTACGGAAGATGTAACATTTCTACAGATTTGTTGTACAGCAATGTGTATATATATCCCCGGTGGCCCAGTGGTAAAAAATCCACCTGCAATGCAGGAGATGCAAAAGATCAGGCTCAAACCCTGGGTTGGGAAGATCACCTGGAGCAGGAGATGGCAACCCACTCTAGGATTCTTGCCTAGAGAATCCCATGGACAGAGGAGCATGGTGGGCTACAGTCTATGGGTACGCAGAGTCAGACATGATTGAGTGATTAGCACTATGGCCACTACCACTAACGTGTACATAGTTAGCAACAGTGTGCCATACACTCAGAAACTGTTAAAACGGTAAATAAAGACGTGCAGGCATATGGTGAACCGAGGCGTATGTATTCCCTATGAAGAATCTCTCCTTATGTCAAAACCTTTGCAGACAGCCACATGTTTGTTTTCATGTCCCTTTCCCTAGTTTTAATAACTTCAGGGAACAGAGGGACTTCCCTGGTGCACAGTGGATGAGAATCTGCCTGCCAATGCAGAGGACACAAGTTCGATGGCTGGTCCAGGAAGATTCCACTTTCTGCGGGGCAGCTAAGCCTGTGTGTCACAAACTACAGAGCCTGCATGTGCTCTGCAATGAGAAGACACTCACCGCAACCAGAGAAAGCCTGTGCACAGCAACAAAGACCCAGTGCAGTCAAGACTAAATAAATAATTTTTAAAAATCTGGAAGAACAGAAATCCACAGATGGAGAATCATAGAACTATCTAAATTGTTTTCTCCAGTCTAGGCAGATTAACTCTTCTAAACTGTTTGAGCAGGAGAAGAGGAAGTGAGCTGCTCACTTCTATTTTATAATAAGTGTACTTCATTTTATTTATCTGATGCCACCTCTGGTCAGTGAAATGTGGGAAAGATCATGGAGAATAAATAGTTCTCTCCAACCCTTTCCCAGAATCAAATTAAAGAATTAGCTTAACCTTAGGGCAAGAAGATCATGGGTTTTATTTTATATACATACATAAATAATGTATCTTGACATAATATGTTAATCATTTCCTCTTCTACGAGACTTAATCGAATAAGCAATGAGATTAGAACTAAATCTGTTTGGTGAATTTATTTCTAAGGTTTCTTTAACTGCCTTTCACTGAATATGTTTAGCAAAAATAATTCTTTTTAAAAAGAATGATAAATTTTAACCATAAAACTTTTGAGAATTACACTGGAAAACCTATACATTCACCTCATTCAGGCTTACGTAAATATTCAACCACAACCACTTCAGAATGCTGAAAATTATGTTTTCTTTGCTACTGGCTGAGATGTAGTTGGGACCTAAGCCCAGGCTGGTTTCAGGAAGACACCTCCAAATCCTCCTGGCCTCTCACCTTGCTGCCTTGGTGTCCATTCTTCATCAGAATCCTCAGTGTCATCTACCTGGGGTTTGATGACCTGTCTGCGGTGATGCATGAAAGCCGGTCGAGTGGCTCTGAAACCTGGAAAGAAGCAAAATATTTGTTCTAAGAAGGAGAAACAAAGCATAGAAGCAATGGAAAGTGTCACAAAGTCAAGGAAATCTGTAGGATGGGCTGGGAGAATCTAGAATAAGGCAAGAGGTGAGCTCTGCACTGCAGGGTCAAGCTCCCTTTGGTACAAAACTGTAAACATTTCCTCCAGCTTAGTCTCCACACAAAAGGGCACTATGAGCAGATGAAGCCACCTAAGAGCGGGCCAAGTGAACACTGAGGGTGAAGACCTGCTTCATGTTTCCCAGGCTCACAGGCACCCAGCACTTCCTGTTACCTATAGCAATCAGTGCTTCGTAGTTTCTTTTCACATTCCTATATCGGATTTTTTCCCATTCTCCCATCTCTTCCCATTCTTCCTTGGAGAAGTATACGGAGATGTCTTTGAAAGCATCTTTGGCCTAAGGAAAATAATCGATTTCATCAGTGATTTACTAATCTAAGTCAGACCTTAGAGCTGGGCCTTCTCCTCCACCTTTTGTGCAGGGAGTAGCCTGAAGCACCTGGATGGTCTGTGTGACACAGGGATGAAGACTTTTCTTCCCGACTGTGTCCTGCTTAACTGAACAAACCCTGAGCATTTTCCTAGCTCTCCCTGGACACAGAGCAGTTGACGAAGCTAGTGTCCTGTTCTGTCCCATTCCACCCCACCATCTCAGACAGGACCAGGCATTCCCATCCTGTGTACAGTCACAGGGAAGTTCACTCAGCTGCCCAGGCAACCAGTCTGTGATGCTTCAGGGACCAGCGCTGTGTCCTTCCTATAGAGCTGGCTTAGAGCCCAGCTTTGCCGCCTCCACCTCTCACCATGGGCTTCCGCTCTGTTCTCCCAGCATCTCTCTCAGTGCTCTCCTCTGGAGACCTGTTCGGCCTCATGGCCATGGGAGTGCTCAAGGCCAAGGTGCCTGTGGAAGAAGAAGGTGGTGAGATAGCCCAGACCAGTGTCCAGAGCCTGGTCTGTCTTCCTTGGGTGGAGTGTCCAAGGCAGGAAGGTGAGGGGAAAGTCAGGGTGAGGATATTGGTGGGATGGACAGATCCTGACTAGATATGACATATCAGCCTAATGTGAACTAGATTTGGTTTCTTTGGTTCCCCTACAATTCAGCCCCTCTGAGGGAAGGCACTGGGAGGGAAGGGTCTGTGGGTGACGGAGGGATTCTTGAGGAGACCCGGAAACCCCTAACTGCTGGACTGGGGTCAGGGTGAAATCAGGGCTCTGTTCCAGTGCAGCAGAGGGAATGTTTCTCCAAGAAGGGTTTTGAGGATCTCCTCCCGGGGACTCAGAAAAATCTGGGCATAACGTAGGTTCTACGTCTAAGGGACACGTCGCTAGGCTTGAGGAGATCTGGGTCTCACGGGCTGAAGGAACTGGGGTCCTCAGACAGAGTGGACTGGGGAACTTTTGGCTGATGTAGAATGCGCAGGGTGAGAACTCTTGGGATCTGTGAGGCTGAGGAAATGGAGGGTTTCTTATTAAGGGACTTTAGGTCTCTGACAGGCAGGACAGTTAGGGTCTTGAGGAGGAAGAGTTTTAAGAGCTCCCAGGCGGAGGTATTCAGGGTCTCCGAGGTTGAGGAAATTTGGTCTCTCTGCGGGTGCTATTTTTAGGGTTCCTCAGGCTGAGGGGAACTGGGGTTAATCTAGGTATTTGAGGGTCGCAGCACTAGGGGATTCGGTGTTTCTGTGGGTGAAGGGACTTGTAATCCCTGAAGCTGACGAGACCAAGCCCCCTTCAGATTAGGACTCATGTTACTCAAAGTTGACGGGATTTCGGGCCTCCCACCCTGGAATTTGAAGCCATCAGGCTAAGGGTTTACGAGGGCTGGGCAGGACGCGTTCCCGTCAGCCTCCCCGTCAGCCTCCCCGCTGTCTTGCCGCGCTGCCCACCCTGTCCCCAGGAGCGCTAGAGGTTCAGCAAAGTCCAGTCGGTCCGCGCTGAGGTGAAGTGAAGGGCCAGCCGCCTGTCTGTACCCTGTCAGGCACAAGCGACCAATCGGCGTTGTGACTGAGGCAGTCTGGCCAATAGGCTCCCGGAGGGTGGGGAGCGCTATGGAAGCCCCGCCCCACCGCTCGGGGATTGGCTGCTCTGTGGGCGTGTCTGTCAAGCGTCCAGCGCGCAGGCGCATCTTGGCTGGTTTCTTTGTTTTCAGGCATGGCCGCTTAGGCCTGGATCCTCAAATGGGCGGGTTGTCCTCAGGCTGAATGTTTCTTTCCAGTGCCCTCAACTGGTCTATCGGCTCCACCAGACTGATACCGTGCTCCCGGAGTTTATCCTAGGCCCACCTGTGCCCTACCTTATCAAATCCAGTTTTGGCAAGAACCCTATGTGGTGAGTACTGCATTATTCAAGGGAAAACGGTGTAATTAACTGCATTCTGATGAGACACAAGATAAACACCGTATGGTCCAAGATTTAAACACAACTCATGGAATAAGTATGTTAGAAAAAACTTGGAGGATTTTTAACCTGAAAGTGGAAGTGTAAATGATGAGCCATCTGTATATTTAATGTAGGTATGAAAAGCCTTCAGAAATGAGGTATAAATAAAACCTCAAAGCCTTGCAAGTGTTTTCTGTAAGCCGAGGCATCGATCTGGAGGACTGTGAATCCCCTGAGCTGAGTTTGCCTGACACCTACTGGCTTCGCAAGATAAAATAGGGACACTGTTTCTGGCCCTTAGGTAGCTTTGCTCACAGAAAAATAATGTGATTTCCATGTATTGGAAGCAAAGCAACTGACTGTAGAATTAGTATCAAGTGTCAAGTGGTGGTTGGGAGTCTGGATGGAGAACTGTTACCAGAAAAGTGAGTTTACCTCTTGGTGGGTGTGGAGCCAGAAGGTACAACCCAGCCAAAGCTCATGGGAAGGAAAAGTGTATTACTTGAAGAACTATGGAGAACACCATGGAGCTTTCCAGAGCAGTGTCACTGTAAACTACAAAGTTGGGTAAGCTTTAATCTATGAGTACAGGCATGTTCCGGCTTCTGTGGTGACTCAGATGGTAAACAATCTCTGCATAGCAGAAGACCCGGGTTCAACCCCTAAATGAGGAAGATCCCAAGAGGAGGGCGGGGCGGTCCACTCCAGTATTCTTGCCTGGAGAATCCCATGGACAGAGGAGGCTGGTGGTCCGTGGGGTTGCAAAGAGTCAGACATGAGTGAGTGACTAACACTTTAACTTTTCAGGCATGTTTGTTAAGGGTCTTGGGCTGTGGGAGACTCCAAGCTTCACTTCTATATCTTCTTGATATAGATATAGATACCTATTCTTCTTCATATTCTTTTTTTTTTTAATTTTTTTTTCATTTATTTTTATTAGTTGGAGGCTAATTACTTTACATCATTGCAGTGGTTTTTGTCATACATTGAAATGAATTAGCCATGGATTTACATGTATTCCCCATCCCGGTCCCCCCTCCCACCTCCCTCTCCACCCGATCCCTCTGGGTCTTCCAGGTGCACCAGGCCCGAGCACTTGTCTCATGCACCCAACCTGGGCTGGTGATCTGTTTCACCCTAGATAATATACGTGTTTCGATCTTCTTCATATTCTTTCCTCATATCAGTTCAATTCAGCCACTCAGTCGTGTCTGACTCTTTGCAGCCCCATGGACTGTAGCACGGCAGGCCTCCCTGTCTATCAGTAACTCCTGGAGTTTACCGAAGCTCGTGTCCATTGATTCGGTGATGCCATCCAACCATCTCATCCTCTGTGGTCCCCTTCTCTTCTTGCCCTCAATCTTTCTTAGCATCAGGGTCCTTTGAAATGAGTCAGCTCTTCACATCAGGTGGCCAAAGCATTGGAGTTTCAGCTTCAACATCAGTCTTTCCAATGAACACTCAGGTCTGATCTCGTTTAGAATGGACTGGTTGGATCCCCTTGCAGTCCAAGGGACTCTCGAGTGTTCTCCAATACCACAGTTCAAAAGCATCCATTCTTCAGCAGTCAGATTTCTTCACAGTCCAACTCTCCCATACATACATGACCACTGGAAAAACCATAGCCTTGACTAGACAGACCTTTGTTAGCAAAGTAACATCTCTGCTTTTTAATATACTGTCTAGGTTGGTAATAACTTTTCTTCCAAGGAGTAAGTGTCTTTTAATTTCATGGCTGCAGTCACCATCCGCAGTGATTTTGGAGCCCCCTGAGATAAAGTCAGCAACTGTTTCCCCATCTATTTGCCATGAAGTGATGGGACCAGATGCCATGATCTTAGTTTTCTGAATGTTGAGCTTTAAGCCAACATTTTCACTCTCCCGTTTCACTTTCATCAGGAGGCTCTTCATTTCTTCTTCACGCTCTGCCATAAGGGTTGTGCCATCTGCATTGCTGATATTTCTCCCGGCAATCTTGAATCTAGCTTGTGCTTCATCCAGCACGGTATTTCTCATGATATATTCTGCATAGAAGTTAAATAAGCCTGGTGACAATATATAGCCTTGATATGCTCCTTTTCTGATTTGGAACCAGTGTGTTGTTCCATGTCTGGTTCTGACTGTTACTTCTTGGACCTGCATACAGATTTCTCAAGAGGCAGGTCAGGTGGTGTGGTAGTCCCATCTTTTGGGAATTTTCCACAGTTTATTGTGACCCACACAGTCAAAGGATTTGGCATAGTCAATAAACAGAAATATATATTTTTTCTGGAACTCTCTTGTTTTTCGATGATCCTGTCGATGTTGGCAATTTGATCTCTGGTTTCTCTGCCTTTTCTAAAACCAGACTGAAGATCTGGAAGTTCACAGTTCACGTATTGCTCAAGCCTGGCTTGGAGCACTTTGAGCATTATTTTGCTAGTGTATGAGATGAGTGCAATTGTGCAGTAGTTTGAGCATTCTTTGGCATTGCCTTTCTTTGGGATTGGAATGAAAACTGACCTTTTCCAGTCCTGTGGCCACTGCTGAGTTTTCCAAATTTGCTGGCATATTGAATGCAGCACTTTCACAGCATCATCTTTTAGGATCTGAAATAGCTCAACTGGAATTCCATCACCTCTACTTGCTTTGTTTGTAGTGATGTCTCCTAAGGCCCGCTTGACTTCACATTCCAGGATGTCTGTCTCTAGATGAGTGATCACACCATCATGACTGTCTAGTTCATGAACATCTTTTTTGTATAGTTCTTCTGTGTTGTCTTGCCACCCCTTCTTAATATCTTCTGCTTCTGTTAAGTCCCTGACATTTCTGTCCTTTACTGAGCCCATCTTTGCATGAAATGTTCTCATAAGCTTAAGTTTTAAGGTTGCTATTGCAGGGAATGGCCACAAGGCGTCAGGACTGTTTCATGCCCAGTTGTGATTGCCTTGAAAGTGAAAACTTTCAAATTTTAACTCAAGACTGTAATTCAATATGGAATGTAGCTGAAGAAACACGCTAAAGCTTGTGTGTTCTTTCTGA